AGACGGATTTTTCTGGGGGTGTTTCTTGGAGATGGAGGGTTGGGGACTTTGAGCCAGGCTTGTCTGGCTGGAGAGGGTCAGTTAGAGGGGCTAGAGTGAGGCTGGGCAGAATCTTCGTGGGTGGGGAGGGATGAGGGAGTTCTTGCGACGTTTCCCCCACTCCACATCTCCTGTTTTCCAGGCCAATGTCTGGGCTCAGGGAGGGTCAGAAACAGTCCCCAAGGGGAGGGGCAGGAGAAATGATGTCGGCTGTGGGGGAGGGGCATGTGGCTGGAGACAACAGAGCCCTGGCAGGTCAGAGGAGGACATGTTTAACAATCTGCACCCCCACAGATAAAACTGTTTTCACTACAGCCCTCTAGAGCTCAAGCACACTCTATAGCTCCCCACCGATGGCAGCACCAAGCCCAGGCTTCCCTGTGGCCACCCAACCTGGCCCTGTACCCCCATTTGGGAAAAAAATCTCAGCCCCCACTGTTCCAGAAGGGAGCCTCTATCCCCTGGTGGTCTCCAGAACCTTCTGGATTCATTCTTACCTCCGCCCCTTTGCACCTGCAATGCCCTGCCTGGGGTGCCCTTCCCCTTCTTGCTGGCGCCTCACACTCCAGTCCTTCCCACACCTCTAGCCCTTCCCCGAACACACCACGCCCTTCGAGCCCCCTTGAAGTTGTTCGTGCTGTTCCCTCTGCCTGGGTCAGCTGTTCTCCGCATCTGGCCACCTCCTCAGAGGGCTTTTCCCTGAACTCCCACACCGCCCTGTCCCACTACCTCCCCAGCACTTCTGTCTCATCCAGAGACCGTCTTCATTTACTCTTTGCTTGCTGTCGGTCTGTCTCCCCATCTGTCTGTGTGTCCTTGGGGGACACAGGCCTTGTCTGTCTTGTTCAGCTCTGTGAATACACACCCATAGCACATATTTGGAGAATTAACACTGGGCCATGAAAACTGAGTAATTTTCAGCCTCCTCTAGAACAGTAGCTTTCAAATCTCTTTTTTTAATTTTTTTTTTGAGACAGAGTCTCACTCTGTCACCCAGGCTGGAGTGCAGTGGCATGATCTCGGCTCACTGCAACCTCCACCTCCTAGGTTCACGAAATCCTCCCACCTCAGCCTCCCGAGTAGCTGGGATTGCAGGCGTGCACAACCATGCCCGGCTAATTTTTGTATCTTTAGTAGAGATGTGGTTTCACCATGTTGGCCATGCTGGTCTCGAACTCCTGGCCTCAAGTGATCCACCCACCTTGGCCTCCCAAAGTGAGCCACTACATCCACCTCAAATATTTCATCAGTGACTGAGAAATTCATTTCACCTCACAACCTATTAAACGTATGCAGAAATGATGCAAAATATTCATGGAACGCTTTTTTTTTTTTTTTTTATGGAAACAGCGTCTTGCTTTGTCTCTCATGCTGCAGTGCACTGGTGTGATCATAGGCCACTGCAGCCTTGACCTACTGGGCTCAAGTGATCCTCTCACTCCAGCCTTCCGAGTAACTGGGACTACAAGCACACCTCCCTGCCTGGCTAATTTTTTGTTACTGTTGTAGAGATGAGGTCTTGCTATGTTGCCCAGGCTGGTCTTGAACTCCTGGACTCAAGTGATCTGCACACCTCGGTCTCCCAAAGTGCTGGGATTACAGGCATGAGGCACTGTTCCCAGACTACATGTAACAATTCTTATTTTTACTATGCATTACACATGCCAATGTATTCTAGTTCCATTCCATTCCATTCCATTCTTTCTGTTCCAACAAAATTCTGGCTACAACCTTCTGATTTCTAGTCTTCTTGCGGGTTACAAGAAATTGACCCAGAGAAAAGGTTCTCAAATTCTTACTGCAGAGGTCCCTGGAATTTTCCTGGTTCTGTCCCCTCCCACACTCTCTCTGGCTTGCCATTCTAGGACCCACTCTACTTGTCATTCTGGGACCTCCAACCCCTCTTTCTGTAAGGCAGCCAGAGCCCAGCTGCTGTCTTTATAGGGCCATAACTGATACTTCAGCCCCCTGAGAGCTCCCTGAGATCTCGGTGAGTCTATCTGCAGTTTTGGACAAGGCTTCCCCAAGGGGTCTTCTTTGACCCTCTCAAGTCTCCTCTCTGTTGGCACTGGGCCTGCCCCAGGCGGAAGTCACACGGGACACAACTCTGTGTGTCCCCATGGCACTCTCCTCCGAGAGGAATGACCAGGAGGTAAAGGGGAAGGGAAGGGTGAGGCAGGCAGGTGGTAGTGGCTGGCTGTGATGCGTCCCTGGAAAATTACAGCTTCCCCGCCCTCCATGCCAACCCTCCTCCTGGAGAGCAAAAGAAGTCCGAACGGCCACGCCTGAACTACTGCCAGTGTAGATGCTGTGTTCAGGTACACAGCGTTTTCACACGGTGGGAAGATCTGCTCCCATTTGACAGATGACGAAACTGAGGCTCAAGGAAGGAGAGGGACTCGTCTCAGGTCTCCCAGCTCAGAAGTGGCCAAGAGGGGGACCAGGCGTGGTGGCTCATGCCTGTAATCCTAGCAATTTGGGAGGCCAAAGTTGGTGGATCACATGAGGTCAGGAGTTCAAGACATGCCTGGGAAACATGGTGAAGCCCCGTCTCCACTAACACACACACACACACACACACACACACA